CTCCTTTACCTGTATTTATTTATTTTTGTTTTTGTTTTATTTATTTGTATTTGTTTATTTTATTTATTTAGTTTGTGTATCTACGCAGAATTTCCAAAATAGTTTTTACAAAGGTGTTTCTTGAAGTTGTAATCATTTGGAGCATGGTGATCTTGCATCCTTTCTCTCACTTAAAATTCTACCATAAACTCTTTTTCATGTTAGTAAGCAATCTTTATAATCCATCATTTTAATCCATTATTTTTAAAGACTGCATCAAGCGGATTCACTACATTCTACTTAATCATATCACTATTGTTGAAAATAGAGATTAGTTCCAAATTTTCACTATTATAAGCAATGCCCCAAACTGGCCCTTTTCTACACCTATTTCTAAGAGTGACATTATTATTCTCCCAGTAGCCTTGGAATCTCTTCTTCATTCTCAGCTAATTTGCTTTTAGTTGTTGCTACCAAATGGGTTTCTCTTCATCATTGATGGTATATAGGGATGCCACTGATTTTATATTTATTTTGTACTTGACCTCTTTACTGAACTCATTAATTTTAATAAGGGTTCAGTTGTTTTCCTTCAGTTCTAGATACATAATAATATAACTTACAATTAATAATAATTTTGTTTTTTTCCTCTACCAAATTTTGGTTCATGTTTTATTGCATTGGTCAGAGATTTACAAATCATAAAAGTAGTAGCAACTGAGAACATTCTAGTCTAGTGTGTAAGTTGTTGCTTCGAATGATATTTGTCATCTTGTCAAGGAATTATTTCTACTTAGGTTTTACATTTTTCTTTCTTTTTTAATATCAATTTGGATAATTACATAGCTTTATTTATCCTATAGGGTCTCTATGAGTCAGAATCAACTCGACGGCAAAAAGTTTTCGTTTATTTATCCTATTAAGAGTCCCTGAGTGGCACAAACGGTTAAGTGCTTGACCACTAGCCAAAAAGTCGGTGGTTTGAACACACCCAGAAGTACCTTGGAAGACAGGCCTAGTGATCTGCCTCCAAAAATCACAGTTCTGAAAACCCCATGGAGCAGTTCTACTCTGCACACAAGGGTTTGCAAAGAGTTGGAAATGAATTGACAGCAACTAACAATAACAACAATGTATCCTATTAATATATGAACATGAACTGTTCTGAAATTCCTGTGATAAATTTTACTTTTTTATTGGCTAACATTCATTTATATTTTTTACATCTATAATCACAAGAAAGGTTCGTTTGAATCTCTTATGGTCTTATATAGTAACCACTACCACATGCGGCTTTTGAGCACCTAAAACGTGGGTAGTCTGACTTGACAGGTGCTGTAAGTATAAAACACACACTGGATTTCTAAAACTTAGTATGAAAATTAAAATGTAAAATATCTTAACGATATTTTATGTTGATGACAGGCTCAGATGATATATTTTAAGTATACTGAGTTAAATGAAATATACTATTACAAATTAATTTCACCTGTTTCTTTTTTTTTTTTTTAAATGTAGAACCTTTAAAATTACATATGTGGCTTGTCTTATACACCTATTGGCAGTGCTAGTCTATTGTTTCCTCTTTACAAAGCATCTCTGCTAAGTTTTCATATCGAGTTGGATTTGCTTCAGAGAATCCAGAGAATTGAGTTGCATGTGATCTTCTACAATCTGGAACATTTGCTACAGAATAGGGTTACATAGGCCTTTACAGCTTGAAAGCACTCACTCAGATTCCACTCTCTCTCACCCCAGTTTCTGAGATTTTTCTAAGTTACAAGTCTACTCTAATATTCCTTTGTAAAGATAAAGTCTTTAACTGGCACTGTCAGAACTGCACAGCCAAAATTAAATACTAGATTCAAAGACCAACTGAGAGTATTTCAGATCTTAGTATAGAAAAGCTACAAATGGTCTTCAATTCTGTCTTGTTTTTATTAACACTGTAACCAGCAAATTTTCCTTTGTTCTTGAAGGTTACATGAAGATTCTCCTCATTACACCAAGGTATGACTACACCTTTGTACATACGCTTATGACTATAATAGAAAACGTTCATGCTGCATTTCTTCTCATCAGAAAAACACACACTCTTACCTTTTCACTCTGAGAACAAATCTATTTATATATCTATCTATTTATATACAAATCCCAGATGATATACTGGCCCACGTCAATAACGAGCCCGTTTAGAGAGTGAGAAAGAAGTGGTTCGAGCATGCAGAGAGGAGGTATAAACTGAACACCTCCTCTGACAACTGAGGAATCTTGTCTCAACCGGTTGGGGTGGGAGTGGGGGGGAGGGGTCAGCCCAGGGTCCATGCATGAGGGCCTGAAGTGTCACACAGAAAGCACTTGTACCAGTTACCAGTTGCCCTGGAGTCTATTCCGACTCCTGGTGACCCCATGTGTGTCAGAGTAGAACTGTGCTCCATCGGGGTTTTAATGGCTGATTTTTGGAAGTAGATCACCAGGACTTTCTTCTGAAGTGCCTCTGGGTGGACTCAAACTATCAACCTTTCGGTTGGCAGCAGAATGTGTTAACTGCACCACCCAGGGATTCCACAGCAAGCACAGACATGAATAAAGTCCTACAGCTTGCATCCCCAAAGCTGTTACACCCACAGTCTGTCTGTCTTCTTTTTTTTTTGTGAGATTGATAACCACCTGGGCTACCTGAGTTGTACTCCCAGCTCCATACTTACTAGCTGAGTGTGCTTGGTCAAGTTACTTAATCACTCAAAGCCTCAATTTCTTCATCTGTAAAGTAGGGAAAATCAAAACATCTATTTCAGAGTCTGAGAATGAGTTAGCATAGGCAAAGTCTAGGTAAGTGCCTGGCATAGAGTAAGCATCCAGTAAATGTACACCATGAAAATAATAGTGTGCACTCCAATGTCATTAGCTTCTATCAAGTGCTGACTGCGTGATCACTAATTAGCAACGATGCATCCACTAACTGCAAGCTTGACATCGACTAATCAATGACCTGTCATCCATGGGACCAGTCACTCTCAATTAAGGAACAGCCAAGTGTCCATTCGTTAATACATAAACAAACACTGGGTTGTTCTGACATTGCTGAATCACTCAGATAATCACCAATAAAGGCTAAGGAAATCCAGGTTGTACTCAATACCTCAGACAAAGTAATCATCGAGACAGTCCCCGGGGACAGTTTTCCAAGAGATGCAAAGGAATTCCATTCCCTTCTCTGGTACTTTCCATCCATACAGCTTATGCAGCTGCCTGTGGCTCTCCCCCTCCAGGCTTAATCCCTATCTCAGCTCAGCCCAATGCTGGATGATTGAAGTCACTGTGTCAGAGTGGAAGAGAGAAGGCAGCCCACACCTGCTTTCTATTCCTCCTGGCCTTATCTGCAGAGCTGGAGCCTCTGCCTACCCCTAGAGATACCCATCTGTTTTTCCTTCTGGAATCTCTACCTATTCACTCCTAACCTGATGCTTCATAAAAGAAAAATGAAAACCCAAATACGAATCATGTTTACCCATGAAAACTTTGTCTTTCTTAATGGGAACTGAGAAAGGGAGAAAAAGTAGGATTATAGAGAGAAGTAAACACCATGAGCAAATCTCCAAATGGCAGTGTGTTGACTTCAAGGACAAAAGATAGGCAAGAAGCTAAAAACCCTGTGCAGTGGGCAGGTGAGAAGAGAAACTCTAGTCACAAAGAACAGGTGAGGATGGTAGAAAGGAAAGCAGGCCAAGATAGTGCACGGGAATGAAAGAAGAAGAAAGGGATAACCTGGGATTTACTGAAGCAAAGGCAACCTCCTCTGCCTCCACTTCCTTCTCCTCTTCCTCCTCCATCTATCATGAGCCCTGACTAAACTCTTCACCCTACTCACTCTCTGTCAGGTTCTTTCCCATGGACATGAAGGTGGTGAAATCTATAATCCCACCAATCAGGAAGTGGAGGGGTCAAGGAAAGGGAAGAGTTCTAATTCTACTGCCAGCTCTACATCAGGAGGGGATGCTTTCCTGGCATTTTAAGTTGGAAATCTGAATTTAGTTCTTAACAGAAACATCAGTATATATGGTAACCAGGGACCACAAGTTACAGGAGGAGCTAAGACATAAGCTTTTGGAGTCTGGCCTGGAAAACTACTCAGAATGCATTTAACTTTTCAATTCTTTTAAATGGGAAATGCATTCTGGTATTCTAAAGAAGCTCAAACAAACTTCTGGAACAGTAAGCATATTAGAAGCTCTCTAAACACATGCTCTTATGTACTAATATGCAAGTACGATTATATAAAAAAAGTCAAAAAACTTGAAATGGATTTGAGAAATACTATTCCCCCACCAAGGAAAGTTAATTAACCACATAAAATACACATAAATGACAAGTCCCAGTACTCCAAGGACAGAAAAAAATCCATAGGAGATGGCACTTAGAGGTAGCTTTAATGAAAGCTGGGCCGTCAAAATCCCATATGTCTCCAAAAGAACAGGAACGCTTTATGTTTTTAGACAGAGCAGAAAATTCTCATCCCAGCTCCTACTTCTATAAAATACAAAAATGCTCTTGTATGTATCATTTAGTTTTTGTTTTATGGCTGTTGTTTTAAAATCAATAAGTAATCTAGGACCAGCATTCAGTTTTCAAGACCTCATATTTGTTTAGTATACAAGGTTGTCTCTCCTTTGGGGGGAAAAAAAAAATCAGGCAATTTTTTCCCTTCATATTATTTTTCTCTAGGTTTTCATTTTTCTTTGGTAAAACTCTGTTTTCATTTCAAATATTTTTATTTCAAAGCGTTGGTCCATCAGTCTTACTATAAACCACAAACTTTATTCAAAAGTTACTTGATCTTAACTGTGACAATGTTTTCACTTTTTCCAATGAATCATTTGGCAAAAAGTTTACCAATAGGCATGCTCACTATCCCACGACAGAAAATACAGAAAGCCATCAGGGAGGAAAAGCTGTAATTACTGATGTCTAGGCTTTGGCATTAGCTACGAAGGCTGACTTTAATTGTAACACAAAAGTACCTTTGTCTGTTCACTGTCCGGGTCTTCAAGCCAAGCGTAAGGGTCACATACTTGATGCCCATGATAATCCTGTACCTGCAAAAGGCAAAATGAGGTATTAGATAATTAGTGCCTAACTCCAATTAAAATTAATGCTTTTCCTTGAATGTGCTGGAGAAATAGGAAAGGGACAGACAAAAATATCCCAATTGGCTCACTGGCAACGTGTCTGCTCAAATTACCACATGAACCAAAGTTGGCAGGTTCTCAAAGGTGTCAAGCCACCCTTCATGAAAAGAATGTTTTAGCCAGAGAGGGAAGAAAGATGAAAGGTCAGAATAGGAAACTGCTCTGTATGTACAATACAAAACAAAGACTTGCCGCTGTGCTAAAGAAATTGGAAAATGTGTTGTCAGCGGCAAGCACAGAATTCTACAATGCAGTGGGGATGCAAGAAGGGTACGATTGTGAAGGAACCACCATGCGCACTTATGTTTCCGTTCTTTCTGAGCTTATTCATGATTAGAAAATCTCCCTACAATATATCATAGGATCAGTTTTGCTTTTTATGTTTAAACTGCCAAAAAGCAAGTTACTAATTCTAATTGACACCAGCTGAAAAAGCTGATTTAAGCTCAATGAAAGAACATCTCTTCCTCTGTGGATTGTTATTATGGAACACTTTCTTTTTTTTTTTTATAAAAAGGGGGCACAAAAGCATCACCCATTCTGACTACCCTGATATTTGAAGAAATAAAATTGTTTAGTGTAAATAAAGCCTGACTAAGGGGAAACTTTTGGGAGCTCCCACCCCAGGCTGATCATCAGAACCACCTGAGAGCTTCTGGAAAGCACCAATTCCTGGGCCCTGGCCCCAGACACTGGCTGACTAAGTCTGAAGGAGAGACTCAGACCAGCTTTCCACCACTCCCCAGGTGATTATGCCTAAAGAAATTACCCCAAAGTAAAAATCACTACAAAACCTTCCCCGTCAAACTATCAAGATTATTCTAATGACTTGAAAACACATTGACAACTCTTGCCTGTCAAATCTCTCTGAATAACTCTAATCATCAGGTTAAGGCTTCCCATAAGAGGTTGTTGGGAAGACTAACTGTACTTCCAATGAGTTTTTAATCTGTCTCCTTGCTTTTTCTATAATACTAGAAGATGAGGGCTATCTCCCAAGGAAAGAAACACTCCCCTGGAAAAGGAAAACCTGAACATTGTCTGTCACCCAAATCCACTGCCGTCGAGTAGGTTCCAACACATAGTGACCCTACAGGACAGCACAGAACTGCCTCACATGGTTTCCAAGGCTGTAAATCTTTCCAGAAGTAGATTGTCACATCTTTCTCTCATGGAGCAGCTGGTGGGTTCGAACCGCCGACCTTTTGATTGGCAGTGAGTGCTTAACCATGGTGCCACCAGGGCTCCTGGATGTTGTTTCTAGTGCTGGTCAAAGCGTCATTGTGGCTGTTGGCCAGGTGAGAATGATCTCCCTTTGCCTAAAATGCTGGGCTTTCTGAAAAGGGTCTACACCTCTCCACATCCGGTGCCAGGTAAGAGAACACCAGCGGAAATATACAACTGGATGAAATGGACCGTTACAGCGAATTCCCTAGAATTGTTCTCATTGAACAAGAAGAAGCCAGGAAAATGAAACCAAAAGTTCAGTCCTCACCTTAAACCTAAGTTTTAGTTGATAATTACTACTGAATGAAAGCTTTTTATATTTTCTTCTCACCCACAAAGGAGCCCTGATGGTGCAGTGGTTAAGAGCTCATGCTGTTAACCAGATGGTTCGCAGTTCGAATCCACCAGCTGCTCCTTGGAAACCCTATGGAGCTGTTCTAGTCTGTCCTATAGGGTCGCTATGAGTCGGAATCAACTCCACGGCAATGGGTTTGGTTTCAGGTTCTCATCCACAAGTGTTTTATACTTTCACACCTTCAAGTGGTTACAAAATATGCATAAAATAACAACCTTATTTTCCCTAGCAATAGAAATTGGAAAAATTTTAAGATGTAAAGTATCTTTCAGTCTAACATTTTTAGGAGTGATGGCAAGCACAAGATTGGGCCCAGGGCCATACCTTGTTCAGAGCCAGAGCTGGAACTAAAACAATTTGCCAACTGCTTTCTGTAAATATTCCTCTAGTGGGAACAAGTCAGACACTCCTGGATTGTGATGTTAGTAAAACTCAAAGAAAGGCATATCCAGAAACTTAACTTTTCAAAAGGAAGCAGAAAAGATTCACTGGAAATCATAACAATTATATCAGTAAGTGAAAGCACTGCCAGATGCTACACTCAAAATGATGAACATTTATTGAATATCCATATTTTGCCCAAGGCTTTAAAACAACCTATAAGAAATCAAAACCAAACCAGTTGCCGTTGAGCTGATTCGGACCCTTGGCAACCCCATGTGTGTCAGAGTAGAACTGTGCTGCACAAGGTTTTCAATGGCTGATTTTTCAGAAGTAGATAGCCAGGCCTTTCTTCCAAGGCACCTCTCAGGAGGCTCGAACCTCCAACCTTTAGGTTAGCAGCTGAGCACATTAACAATCTGCAGCACACAGGGACTCCTAACCTTATAAAAGGATTGTTGGTATTCCCATATTAGATTAGGGAATACAATTTAGAGAGATTCACAAACGTAAAGGCCAACAGATCTGCTTACTCAGAGATCCTGGTGAGCTAGACATTTATCCACATTACCTCATCTGATTCTCACTGTGAGATTATTACTAATTTATTTTCCAGGTGAGGAAACTGACAAAAGCAATTGACAAAAAGTCAGAGTTAGTAAGTGGTAGGGCTGTAATTCACCTGCGGCCAACCCCAAAGCCTGTGAACCTGACCTCGTCTAGACTAGATCACTGACTAGATCATTCAGTGAACGAGCAGGGCCAGGTGTAAAATGGCAAGTGCACAGCTGGTGCTTGTCACTCTGACTCAGACTCCGGAGCATCGGACGCCGTGCTGCCTCCCGGATGGCATTTACCATTGAGGAAACAGCCCTATCTTCCCAGAACCAGCACTACGATCTAAAGCAGACTGAGCAAGTTATTGATCAGACATTTTAAACCAGGACAAGAAATTGATTCTCTCCAGGACAATCCCAGGAACTCCCTCCCCCTCAATTTCTTTCCTTTATAGAAAATAAATGGGGTGGTCTCATAGCCACATCCTCTGAATTCAAGTCATGCAGCATCTAACTCTGCCATCTGATTTAGTCTGCAACTGTTCCTCATCAACTCAAGATACTTTAAAAAACAGAGCTCTGATAAGACTTTTCAGTATTTTACTTGTACTGTTCAAGGTCTCCCCCACCATCTTCAGGATTAAGTGCAGGCTCGACACACAGTGGGCAGGGCCCATCTTAAGCCTAGCCCCATTCAACTTTCCAGCCCCCATCCAAGCTTACCCACCCAGTCTCACACCATTGGTCACTATGACCTTGCTGCCATTTTACAAACAAATGGAGTTCCACAAGACCATGGTCAAGCGGAACATCTAGCTCAACTGGCATAGCACAGTTTGTAAAGAAAATGTTCTACATTCTACTTTGGCGAGTAGTATCTGCAGTCTTAAAAGCTTGTGAGTGGCCATCTAAGAAACTCCACTGGTCTCACCCCATCGGGAGCAATGGAGAATGAAGAAAACCAAAAACACAAGCGAAAGATTATTCCAGTGGACTAATGGACCACAACTACCACAGCCTCCACCAGTCTGAGTCCAGCCAACTAGATGGTGCCCAGCTACCACCACCGACTGTTCTGACAGGGATCACAATAGAGGGTCCTGGACAGAGCTGGATAAAAAACTACGACAAAATTCTAACTCACAAAAAAAGACCAGACTTACTGGCCTGAGAGAGACTGGAGAAACTCTAAGAGTGCAGCCCCCGGACAGCCTTTTAGCTCAGTAATGAAGTCACTCCTGAGGTGCACCCTTCAGCCAAAGATTAGACAGGCCCATAAAACAAAATGACACTAAAGGGGCACACCAGCCCAGGGGCAAGGACTAGGGGACAG